TCTGTGTGAGATAATTTACTCCATTCTACCTTTCCCTTACCCTTTCTCCCAGTACATTCCTTTTTCTCACCCCTTAATTTAATTTTTTTAGATATCATCCCTTCATATTCAACTCACACTTGTGCCCTCTGTCTATATATATATTTCTTCTAACTGCCCTAAAAATGAGACAGTTCTTATGAGCTACAAGTATCATCTTTCCATGTAGGAATGTAAACAGTTTAATGATTTCCCTTTCCTGTTTACCTTCTTATGCTTCTTTTGAGAATTGTATTTGAAAGTCAACTTTTCTGTTCAGCTCTGATCTTTTCATCAACAATGATTGAAAATCCTTTATTTCATTGAATATCTATTTTTTCCTCTGAAGAATTATACTCAGTTTTGTTGGGTAGGTGATTCTTGGTTGTAATGCTAGCTGCTTTGCTCTTGGGAATCATATCCCAAGTCCTGTGATCCTTTGATGTAGAAGCTGCCAAATCTTGTGTTATCCTGATTGTGGCTCCACAATACTTGAATTGTTTTTTTCTGGCTGCTTGTAATATTTTCTTCTTGACCTGGGAGCTGTGGAATTTGGCTACAATATTCCTAGGAGTTTTCCTTTTCTTTCAAGAGGTGATTGGTGGATTTTTTCAATTTCTATTTTACTCTTTGGTTCTAAATATAAGGGCAGTTTTCCTTGACAATTTCTTGAAACATGACATCTAGGCTCTTTTTTTGATCATATGGCTTTCAAGCAGTCCAATAATTTTAAAATTTTCTCTCCTGGATCTATTTTCCAGTGAGATAGTTCACATAGTCTTCTATTTTTTCATTCTTTTGGTTTTGTGTTTTTGTTTCCTGATTTCTCATAAAGTCATTAGCTTCCATTCGTTCAATTCTAATTTTTAAAGAATATTTTCTTCAGTGAGCTTTTGTATCTCCTTTTCCATTTGTCCAATTCTACTTTTTTTTTCAGTTTGGTCACTCACTTTTCTAGTCTTGGCTCTGAACAATAGCTTCTGTTTATATAGTATTTAAAAAAAATTTTTTTAACATTTTTTCCCATTTAATAGTATTTTATTTTTTCCAATTACATGTAAAGATAATTTTCAACATTCACTTTTATAAGATTTTGAGTTCTCCCTCCCTCTCTTCTCTCCTCCCCAAGATAGCAAGCAATGTGATATATGTTATACATGTACAACTACATTAAACATATTTCCACATTAGTCATGTTGTGAAAGAAGAATCAGAACAAAAAGGAAAAAACCATGGGAAAGAAAAAATGAAGGAAAAAAAAGAGAAAATAGTATGTTTCGATCTGCATTCAGACTCCATAGTTCTTTTTCTGGGTGTGGATAGCATTATCCATCATGAGTCTTTTGGAACTGTCTTAGATCCTTACATTGCTGAGAAGAGCTAAATCTATCAACGTTAGTCATCGCACAATGTGGCTGTTACTGTGTACAACATTCTCTTGGTTCTGCTCACTTCACTCAGCATCAGTCCATACAAGCCTTTCCAGGTTTTTCTAAAGTCCACCTGCTCATCATTTCTTAGAGCACAATGGTATTCCATTACATTCATATCCCACAGCTTGTTCAGCCATTCCCCAATTGATGGGCATCCCCTCAATTTCCAATTCTTTGCCACCACAGAAAGAGCTGCTATAAATATTTGTGTACATGTGGGTTCTTTTCCCTTTTTTATGATCTCTTTGGGATACAGAGCTAGTAGTGGTATTGCTGGATCAAAGGGTATGCCCTTTGGGCATAGTTCCAAATTGCTGTCCAGAATGGTTGGATCAGTTCACAACTCCACCAACAATGCAAATTCCATTTTTCCCACATCTTCTCCAACATTCATCATTTTCCTTTTTGGTCATGTTAGCCAATTTGATAGGTGTGAGGTGGTATCTCAGAGTTGTTTTAATTTGCATTTCTCTAATCAATAATGGCTTAAAGCATTTTTTCATATGATTATAGATAGTTTTGGTTTCTTCATCTGAAAACTGCCTGTTCATATCCTTTGACCATTTATCAATTGGGGAATGACTTGTATTCTTATAAATTTGACTCAGTTCTCTCTATATTTTAGAAATGAGACCTTCATCAGAGATATTAATTGTAAAAAACTGTTTCCTAGCTTTCTGATTTCCTTCTAATCTTGGTTGCATTGGCTTTGTGCAAAAAACTTTTTAATATAATATAATGAAAATTATTCATTTGCATTTCAAAATGTTCACTGTCTTGTTTGGTCATAAATTCTCCTCTTCCCCATAGATCTGACAGATAAACTATTTCTTGCTCTCCTAATTTGCTTATGGTAACATCCTTTATGTTTAAATCACATATGCATGTTGACCATTTTCCAGTTTTCTCAGCAATTTTTGTCAAGTGAGTTCTTATCCCAGAAGCTGGAGTCTTTGGGTTTATCAGACAGTAGATTACTATAGTCATTGACTACTGTGTTTTGTGTACCTAACCTATTCCACTGATCCACCACTGTATTTCTTAGCCAGTACCAGATAATTTTGATGACTGCAGCTTTATAAAACAGTTTTAGATCTGGTACAGCTAGGCCACCTTCCTTTGCATTTGTTTTCATTAGTTTCTTTGATATTCTTGACCTTTTATTCTTCCAGATGAATTTTGTTATTATTTCTAGCTCTATAAAATAATTTGGGTAGTCCAATCCTACTTTTTAAGGAGTATTTTTTTTTCCTCAGTGAATTTTTGTGCTTCTTTTTCCATTTGGCCAATTCTGCTTTTTAAGAGTTCTTCTTGTCAGTGAACTTTGGTATGTCTTTTTCTGTTTGACCAGTTCTGCTTTTCAAAGCATTCTTCTCCTCACTGGATTTTTGTACCTTTTACCCTTTGACCTGGTCAGTTTTTAAGGTGTTATTTTCTCCAGTATTTTTGACTCTTTTTTTTCAGGATTTTCTTGCATCACTCTCATTTCTCTTCCCAATTTTCTCTCCACACGTCTTACTTGATTTTCAGAATCTTTTCTGAGCTCTTCCATGGCCTGACACCACTTCATAGTTTTCTTCGATGATTGGCAGGTAGGAGTTTTGACTTGGTTGTCTTCTTTGGAGCGTGTGTGTTTTGATCTTCCTTGTCACCGTCGCAACTTTCTGTGGTCAGCATGTTTTTCTGTTGTTTGCTCCTTTACCAGCCTATTTCTTGACTTTCAGCTCTTTGCTAAGGTGGGGTTCTGCTTCCAGATGGCTCACTGTCCCAAGCGTCGTGGCTCTTACACAACCGTTCTCAGGGATATTTCTAGGGACCTGGAAGTTTTCAGCTCTTCCAAGGTGGTGTGATCCAAGAAGTGCTTCTGCTGCTCTCCTGGCCTGTGAGCACTCTTTTCTGCCCTGGGACTGTGACGAGGGTCCTTACTCCACTGCAGCCCCAAGCTCTGGGGCGTTAGTGCTCCTCCTCATCCCAGGACGGCCACCCAGGACTGGGACCCAGATCTGAGGATGGGCAGAGCAACAGAGGCCTGCCCCCAGTGCCAGCAAAAAGATCCCTGCAAGCTCTTCCTGACAGCTGTTTGAACTCCTTACTGTCTGTGGGCTGAGAGTTCTGGAAGTAGCCTTTGCCCGCTGCCCATTCAGTGGCTGCCAACGCCTGCTCCTGGCTTGCTGGGGCCGGGTCTCTGCTGGCTCAGCCTGTACTGGACTGTGCTTCACTCTCACCCTGGTGCGACAGACTTCTCCTGCTGACCTTCTAAGTTGTCTTTAGCTGGAAAATGATTTCACTCCAGACTTTTGTGTGTTCTGCCACTCCAGAATTTGTTTAGGGCATTATTTAAATGTGTTTGGCAGGGTTTGGGGAGAGCTCAGGCAAGTCCATGGCTTTTCTCTGCCATCTTGGCTCTCCAAAGTGACATTCTTGAATCACAGGTCTGACTCAGTAAATTCAAGATCCTCCATCTCTAGGCTCTGGGATTTCTTTCTTTCTTTCTATTGGGGTTAAGTGACTTGCCCGGGTCACATAGCTCCTAAGTATCTGAGGTCAAATTTGAACTTAGGTCTTCCTGACTTCAGGGCCAGAGTTCTATCTAGCTGCCCCCCATTAGTCTTCAGGACTCAGTTCCAGCACCATCTCCTTGTATACAGAGCCTTTCCTGATCCCCAGAGACAGTAGTACCCGCCTCCCCCCCCACATATCTATTTTGAACATACCTATATATAGGCATATCTATTTGTCTGTGTCGATATGGGTACATTTGTTCCTTCTGATTGAACACCAACCCCTTGAAAGTGTGGGCGGGCTCATTTTTGTCTTGGTAGCCCGAGCTTCTTACACAATGCTTGTCTGCTGATTGAGTTTACAATCTCTGCTGTACACATGATAGAGCCAACAGCCTGGCCCCTGTGCAGGTGCTGAATGGCTGCTGAGCATCAGTGGAGTTTGGAAGGACCCAAGAGCCTGACTTCCGTTGGCCTGGGGTTCCAGACACTGTTGCTGGTCTCCCCTCAGGAGGGTCCCCCCGTGGAGCCCCTTCTCTGCCTCTGGGGGTTTTATTGAGCTGGACTTGGGTCACACAAGTGGAGGTCTTTGTCAGCTCTGGAAGCCAGATATTCCATGGAGGTAGGCCATGCCGGGGAGTGGTTTGGGAGAGACAAGAAAGGGGCTTTCACTGGGTATAAATTATGCCTGGTGATCAGCACAGGGCAAGAGTCAAGACTGCCGCGTTTCCCTTTACGGAAACCTCTTTGAAGGCTAATGAGATGAGTCCCATGGAACTTTCCTGGAAGGGAAGGTAACAAAGGAGTCTGGACAGCTAGTGAGGACCTGCCAACTCTGAGGGCCAACCAAGTTGCTGCCAAGGATGCTGGGAGTCATTGAAACTGTCAGGCTTGAGACTCAAAAAAGCGTGCTTGCGTGTGCCTGTTCACTGTAGGGCTGGGTGGGTCATTTGGCAAAAGGTGCATCAGAAATGGGAAGGGACCTAAGGAGTTAGATGGGTCAGTGCTAAACAAACATCTCACCAGGCAGAAACACAAAGGCAGAGGCTTGTTTTTTCCTTTGCAAGAAGAAAGCAGCTGTTTAATAAATAACCAGGAGGGGGGCACCTGAATCTAAACACAATCTGAAATCAACTAAATGTACTGAGTTATCAGCTAAAAACACAAAATCAACAACACACCAGGGGGTCAACGTCATCAATTCCAAAGTATAGGGCTGGTCCCTTCTTAATGAAAACACAGAAGGTTGGCCACAGTGGGGAATTTGGGGGGGGGATCCTGGAGGGAGGAGGACCAAGCGGGACAAACCGCACCTACTTGCTAACAGCCAACTCGCATCACTGCTTCCACGTGTTTCAAGCAACAGCAGGTCCACCGAGACTCCTTCAAGTCCCCCAGCTAGGTCCCTGAGGAGGGTATGTTAGACCAGAAGAGAACCAGGCAGAGAGAAGATGGCAGAGCCAGAAGAAGGGGCTGCCTTTGGTCCCAAAGCAGGGGGCACTGTGGCCACAGGGACATCCCTGGGACAGCTGACCTGGGGAACGTGCCAACATTCCAATAGTGCGCCACCTGGCTGAACAGAAAAGCTACATGGGGGGGGGGGAATGCCCTTTCAAAAAACTGGTTCACGCTTCTCCCAAAGTGTAACATAAAACTGGCAGAAATAGTGGTCTCTGGACAGCTTCCAGGACACATGGGCCCATCAGACTCACAAGGGTCTTCACGCAGCCCTGGCAACTAATGCCTTTTAGGGACTAGGGGAAAGGCAAGAGGTCTGGGATGTCACATGCTTCAAGGGATTTTTTGGGGGGGAGGTCAAGTTAGTGGGAGCAACCTGGTAGGACCCTGCAAAGGCAGGGGTGGAGAGGGCCTGGTCACTGCCTTGTGGTTTTTGGGGTAAGGGGATCAGCTGTCCCTGCTCAGAGCTCTGTTCCTGGAAATGCCAAGATACCACTGGAGACTTCTCTGTACCTAGGGGTTCCCAGCCTGATAACTCCAGTTGGTCTGTTAACTTGAAGGTGTTAAAAAATTTTTTTTTTCGAAGTGGTCTTCTATGATATTGTTTTGAAAGGATGAGTGAGATTTTGCTTTTCTGATGGGTTGACTGTTGGGAAAGAAACCCCTGATGGGATCACTCAAATGAGGCCTGGGGTCATTGAGCCTGGGGCTGCAAGGGGAAGAGGAATGAGAAACGGGACTTTGGGGTCCACCTGTCCCTGCAGACTAAAGTGCAAAATGTAAAAGCCACCCCTACCTCCTCCCCCAGGGTGGGTTCATTTTCACAATGTCTGGATGGCTCTGGCTCCAGCATCGTTAGGTCCTGGATGAAGGAGTACACGTATGGGCAGGCTGAGGGCCAGGCAGCTCTGGTCACCAGCCCTGCCAGACACACAGAATCCCCAAAGCAATCCCTCACTCCTGGAGGCTCTCGGACAAATGGAGAGGGGCCAGTTAGAGATCCACCTAAAGACTTTCTACCTCACAAGACGTGCAGGCCAGGGATCTCAAACTGCTCAGTATGTAAACTAAAGCGTTGGCTGAGAAGGGTGGGAGAACTTGGGACCCCCTCCTGGGGCAGACATTCCCAAGGCAGGCACAGAGGGCCAGGGAGGCTCAGGGGATCCTGGGGCTGTGGGAGGGGGGCGACCCAGGAAGCCATCAGTGAAGTCACAGGCTACCTCAGGCTGACAGCGCCAGACCTGTAACTGACCTCCTCAGGCCACAAGACAGGGACAGAGCCAGAACACTGATGGCAGCCAGCCCCGCACTGGGGGCCTTCCCCCCATCAGGGAGCCAGGCCAAGTGAACGGTCGTAGTGGGCAAGGGGCACCAGGAATCAAGTCAGAAACAATATGTGGAAAACCATCCGCCCGAGGGGGTCAAGGCCGGGTCACTCCTGCCTTCTGGCTGCTTTTCTAGCATCACATGGGCAGCCCGACCTTCCTTAAAGGTGCTTTGTTGTGGCCTTCTGAGCTAAGTTTTGTGAATCCCAGAGGCCTCTCCCCCTGCACCCCTTCCCGGACCTCTAGGGGTGGGAGCTGGGGGGGCGACAGGTTACTGGCCAGGCTTCTCTCCCCAGAGCTGACCGTGCCAGTGCCTGGAGCATTTTCCAGGAGAGGCCCCGGCAGCCAGTTATTCCAGTGACCCGTAAGCTCTGGTGCTTTCTGGATGGCAGCTGCTGGGGGATCTGGGGGAGGGTCAACTGATGGCTGCAAACCAGTAGGAAGGTGCCAGCTCCTTTGTGTACCTGGACATCCCTGAGCCTTCCCCCTCTCCTCCAGCTCTGAACCATGACAAACTTGGCACTCAGGCTACTGCAGGCCAGATGGGCCTAAAGAAGGGGGTCATCCATCTTGGGTTGCTGTGGGGCACACTGGGACCCCTCACAATGGTGTGGGAAATTCTTTGCCTTCTGTGATACCGTCAGCAAGGCGCTCCCTGCCCAAGTTTCCTGGGCTGGGCAGGCACATTTGGTTGGGTGCCAAGGAGGAGGGGGACCATGGGGTAGGGTCAGTCCTGGCTACAGCCAGCAGTGGGTTGCTGCTGCAGGGCTCCTTTCCTGCTTGTGGGGGTGGGTGCTATCTCTCATTCTGGGTACTTCACTCACAGGACACCCTTTCCAGCCTCACCCAGCAGACCAGGAATGGGTCCTCCGGAGGGGGGGGCGATCAGAAGTGCCTCCTCCCATGACTGGGGGTTGTCAGAGCCTGGGAGGGGAGTGGCCCAGGGCCTGAGATTCAGCCACTCTCCTGCTCCCTGGCAAGATGAGGAATTGGCAGGTTCCATTTCCAAGTCCACAGTTCCCCGGAAGCAGGTGAGTTTAACACTCGCCTGTCTTCACGTGCTGTCGTCCCAACTCTCTCCCATTTTCCAGCCCTGGGTGGATGACAGAAGCCTAGTTTTGCACCATTGGGACAGAGTTTGTGGCTAGCTGTGTTTATCTGTGTTTGGCTCGGAGGGCCTCAGGCTTCTAGGTCCTCTCACTTGCTGTTAGTGGTACAGTCCATGACCACCTCCCCTCCCCCCTGGTCTGGTCCACATCGAGCACACTGCTGTCGATGGGAATGGGGTGGGTGGAGGTGGAGATCTCTGCCTCTCCTTCATCATACACTGCTGTCCACCAGGAGGGGCTCCTTCCCATCCAAGCCGCCCACCTGGGGGCTGTGCGTGTGGCTCTGGGCACCGTTGCTGTGTTTCTTGTGGCTGCCGGACCGCAGCGTGAGATGATTGTGCTCAGGGATGAACAAGGCCACTAGGAGGGACAGCAGGACTGAGCACGCTCCGAAGAGGAAAGGGGGGCCCGGGATGATGCTCCGCTAGAAGGGCAAAGGACAGGAAGGGGTTAAGTCTGAGGGCCCAGGCTGGGGGAGGAGGATGGGGGAAGGGAGGGTGGCCCTCACCTCATCCGAAGGGTTGGCCATGTTGGGCTTGGTGGCCTTCTCCAGGCTCTCTACTGCCACCATCTCATTCAGCTCCACGTGAAACAGATAAAAGACGAAGCCGTACAGAGCCGGCCCCAGACCGTTGCACAGCCCCCGGATGCCAGTGATCATCCCTTGAACGACACCTGTGAGGAAGACAGGGAAAGGAGAATTTTCATCCTTTTCTGACACTCCATGCCATGAGTAGGTATCACTCTTGCCAGGCAAGGGCAGGGAAAGGTCTCAGTCTGGGGGCTGAATGCTCCAGGTACCAGGGCTTGTATGACCAGCTGGGGTGGGGCCTTCCCTCTGAAACGACCTGCCCAGCCCCACTGCTGCATCATGGGGAGATGTGAGGACAGCTGTCTTTGAATACCGTGAGCATGGGGGGTGCGAGGGGAATGGGGTTAAGGAAAGTCAGGGCCAAGGCCCAACCCAGGCAGGGTCGGAGCTACCTTGCTGGTCGGGGTCTGCATTCCGGGACACCATGGCGCTGATGGCGGGGAAGGTGATGCTGGACATGGCTGCCACCGCGCCGGCAGCCCACATCATCCTGGGGGGAGGAAAGAGACAGGGCCTTGGACTGACATGGAGCCCCACCACCCTTGTATACAGAGAACTGGGCCAGAGAGCAGATCAACAGCTCCCCCTGGTGCCCTGATGACCACAAAGGGAGGGTTCCTGGAGCCCAGGAGAGGAAGCTCAGGCTGAGAACAGAACTACTCTCATTTCTAGGAAGTGGGAATGTGGGGGGAAGAGAAGTCCCTCTGCAGGAGGTTCTGGTGATCACGCCCCTGAGCCCTGGGCCTCTTCAGCAGAGGCTGTGACACGGCCTGCGTCCCTGCGTGGGGCATCGGGTGGTGGGGCCAGGGGCAGGGAGGAGGGTTTGGTGGGCCCCTGGCTGGCTCTTACCAAGGCTGGGAGCCAAAGCCGTACCAGGCCAGCTGCAGGATCTGGAACCCCAGGCCGAGCAGGATTGTGTTCTTGTTCCCTATGGAGCGCATCAGGATTCCCAGCACCACTGTCTGGAAAGGGAAGGGGCCCATGTCGCCAAAGGAGAAAGAGAACGTGCCTATCCAGGGCAGAGATGGGGCCGAGGGTGGGGTGGTGGGCAGTGGGAGAGAGAAGAACAGGAAGGGATAGGGAAGGACCCTCACCTGAGCCAGAATGGACAGAATCCCCACCACACCAATGAAGGCGGCCACTGTTTCTGAGGAAAAGCTGATTACCTGCAAAGACCAGAGAAGGGATGAAGGGTCGGGGCCTGTGTGACAGTCTAGAGTTGGAACCTAGAATAGCAAGAAGGCCCAGTCCTTTCCTGCCGCTTACGAAGTGCCTGACCTCTCTGGGATGGACGCCTCCTCCATAAAAGGGGCATGCACCTACACCAGTGTGCCGGGGCTCCTTCTAGACCTCACTTCCCTAACTCCTGCAGGCCGAGGTCCGCTGCTGCTGTGCTTGCTCCTGCATGGGGAGGCTGTCCCTTCATTCTTCACAGATGGGCCTCGATGGATCCAGAGGAGTCGTGATGGCATCCCCCAACTCGTGTTCTGTGTCTGCCCAAGTGGCGGAGCCTGCGTCTGACTCACCTCTCCCGAGCAGCCCCATTAAAGATGGGCTGGGAGCCTCTCCCCCGACTCCAAGCCACTCTCTACTTGGAAGAAATCCCTGCAGGGCAAGTGAGTGATGCACCTGGTCTCCTGGACCCACCCTTTCCGGTCCAGGACCCTCCAATGTCTGCACGTGTGCTCGTGGCTTGATCTGCCTAAGGAGGGTGCCTCCAGCTTCTGGCCTTGGGCTCACTCACCTGGCGCAGGTAGAGAAAAAAGCTGGAGTACTGGCCGGCTTCTGGCAGGTAGGAGAGGAAGACAGTGATGCAGATGAGAAGCACGGTAGAGTCCTGGCCTACTTTCCGAAGAGACTGAGGGAGACAAGATAGAGGTTGAGAGAGTTAGACATGGAAGTCTGCCCTGCGCGACAGCACGGAGTGATATGATCAAAAGCACCCGCCACCAGCCACCAGCCACAACGAGCCAGCGACAGCCGTCTCCTTCCTTCTGGCCTATCCCAGGCCTTGAAATTTCCATCAGAGTCACTCCTTTGAGTGAGACTGTTCTCCAGAAAGCTCTGCAGGAAGTAGGGCCAGGGAGCAGGCACTAAGTTAGCCCTCTAGTACCCAACATTATCGTCCACCCACTAAGATGTCAGCCCACATTGTTCATCAGACGGCTCCAAGCAGAGGGAGGGGAGGGGGACAGTGAGGGCTGGGGACACTTACAGCAAAGGGGTCAGCCTGCTCCCAGGAGATGGGAGCTCCCCAAGACACAGGCCGCATCTCCTCAGGCAGGGACTCAGGCACAGCCAGTAAGATGAAGCCAATGTCCAGCAGCGCCACTCCTGAGGCCAGCACCACCACCAGTGTGTCACCATAGGCGCGGGACAGGTAGGCACCTATGGCTGGGCTTGTCACCAGACTGGCAGCGAAGGTAGCAGAGACCTGAGGGGAGGAGAGACAAAGGAATTGCTCACCCGGGCCCTCCCTTGTTTACAGCTTGCACTACACGGCACCTTCAGAGACAGAAGGTTCTCCCCAAGAGGAGTTTTGGCCAATGTCCACAGTGGGACAACGCGGTCAGCTTTTTGGGGTCTGTGCTCATTTCACTCAGCCCTTCATTCCTTTTACCTTTCCTGGGCAATTCCGTGAAGGGTCTCATGCTATGGGTGAGACACCAACAGGGACGACTAGCTGGAGGGGTGGGGATGTGTCACAGAAGAGGTCAGTGAGACCTAGGCTCGTCACCGGCTCTGGTAAGCAGAATGGAGGCACCGAGTGTTAGACGGGCTCAGCGGGGGACAGTACTCGCAGCCAGAGGGATCAGAGAAAGTGCTATGGAGAAGGTAGCCTTGCGCCTGGGTCCTGAGGGGCGGTTACACATCCACCCATCCACACACAGCTACGTGTGTGTTTAAATGCCATCATACATACACAACTGGGGACAGACCAGTAGAGGGACAGCATGTGCCAGGGTACAGGAGGCCTGTTCTGGGGGGAAGACCATATTTACACAAATACGAAGTAATCCTGGGGAGGATGGGGAGGAACATGAGGTGTAGAGAAGGGGAACCAGGAAAGCCCGCTAGGAGCTGACACTGAAGGCAGAGGGAAGAGAGGGAAGCACTCTAGTGAGGGGGATGACTCACACAGTCCCAGGCACAGGAGATGGCATGTCCCATACAGGAACAAGGACAGGTTAGTGAAAACATGGAGCGTTATGAGGGAGAATAATGTGAAATCGACCTGGAGAGAGAGGCTGGAGCCAAACTGAGATGAGATATTTTACATTAGAAGAAAGAGGGAGCCAATGAAACTTCTTCAGCAGGGGAGTGACATAGTGTGACCTGCATTTAGAAGCAGCAGTCTGGCAGCTACTTGGAGCATGGATTGGAGACAGAAGAGCCTCGAATCAGGAGGACCAATTTAGAAGCTAGTGCAATAACCCAAGAGAAAGGTGATGAGGCCCTGGACTGAGGGGTGACCATGTCAGTGGAGAAGACAGACCAGACGAGGACCTCAAATGCCATGCTCTGCAAGGCTGGCTGTCTGGGGGACTACGAGAAACCACTGCAGCCATAGAGCAGGACCACGGGGGGGGGATGGGAGCTATGCATCAAAAAGATGAGTCGGGTTGGCTACAGAAGACAGACTGTTTAAAGAGAAGGATGAAGGTCCGGGGCTGAGGGGGAAACTACTGCTCTGTGCAGGCACAAAGTGATGGGAGCTTTGATTTTTTTGTTTTTTTTAAGGCAATTGGGGTTAAGTGACTTGCGCGGGGTCACACAGCTAGTGTCAAGTGTTTGGTCTGAGGCCGGATTTGAACACAGATCCTCCTGACTATCCGCTGCGCCACCTAGCTGTCCCGAGACGGGAGCTTTGAATCAGGCTGCTGGAATACACAGGAGGGGCCTGGGATGTGAAACATTTGAGGACAAAGAACTGGAAGGACATGGGAAGAAATGCAGATGCCGGCTTTGGAACTGGGGTGACTGGCAGGATGGTGGTGCCAATAACAGAAAAAGGGAAGTGAGCAGTTGCAGGTTTGGGATAGAAAAAAGATTCCCAGCTGCTATTCTGCAAAGGTGGCCAGTGAATTAAAAGGGAAGGGAGGAAACAGAGGTTGAGGGAGAAAGGAGTGCAGGCGCAGTGTAATGGGGGTCTCCAGGAGACAGCAGGGCACCAGTGCCAGGCCTGGCACTCAAGTGCCACCTCCGCTCGGGGCCTCTGTGGACAGAGGAGGGGTTAGGATAGTGCCAGCAAGGTGGGGAGCACTAGAAGCCCACGGCCCCCTCTCCAAGGGGTTAGAAAATAGGGCTTTTGTTTCCAGAGAGGGGCTGGCTTACCAGGCCATACGCTGTGCTCCGCTCGTGTTCCTGCGTGATGTCAGCCACATAGGCAAAGATGACGGAGAAGGTCACTGCAAAGACACCTGACATGGAAATGACTGCGAAGTACCACCTGAAGGACAAGGGTTGCCTTGTTACAGCCCCTCAGCCGGGGGGAGGTCCCACGGAACTGGCTGCACGCCCCACGTCCCTTCTTGTCCTGGTCGGCTCTTCCTCTGAGCAGATTTCACTGCATTTGGATTTCTGCAGTTCAGGCCCTGGCTACGTGCTTCCTCTCTGCAGAGCCCTATGCTCCGCCCTGGGGCATACAGAGATAATTAAGACACTGTCCCTTCCCTCAGGGAGTCTGCCATCTAGCAGAGGCCAGGAAACTACCAGGAGACGGAAGAGCTCCAGGGCTGGCCAGGGCGTCTTCCCTGTCTTCCCCTGCCCAAGGGGGTGGCAGGGTGAAGCTGAGCCACCACCACCACACCACAACCCCTCACTCACCATGGGCTGATCTTCATCAGGGGAATGGGTGCACAGGTAAAGAACACCGTCAAGAGGAGGAATGACTTTCTGCCCCAGACATCTGAGAGGGCACCAATGAGAGGGGCACTGAGGAAAGACAGCAGACCCTGGAAGACAGAGGAGACGCAGCAGGGGCTTCTGTGAGGCTGGGGGCCTGCGGGCGGCCAAAGCGCACACCAGCCAAGCTGCTCCACCTGTTCTCTGGGAAGGAGAAGGATCGCGAAGAACAAGGGCCCCTGGGCTGCTCGGAGAACCCAGCAAGGGAAGACCTCCAAGCACACCTTCTCGTGTCAACACTGACCCAGCTTCCGTGGCTTTTCAGGCCTCGTACAGTACATGCAGCTGCCGACCTCGTCCCTGAGCGGCCTGCTAGACTGAGCACAGCTCTGAAGCTGCCAGGTCTGACGGCTCTAGGCCTTTGAACCTCTGCTGGCAGCAGGCTGCAGGTGCAGAGTGATCGGCTGAGCGCATCAGAGTCTGGGGCCCACAAGGTTCAGAACTGCATCACAGCAGTGAACACAGAAGGAACTGTTTCTTTTTCCTCTGCCTCCTTGGAACTGACGGAAGAAGAGCCACTTCTCCAGGAGCAACCACTTAGAGGACGATGCTATTGTGCCCCCTCCGCCCCACTCCTCATTCTGGTCCTGGCTAGGAAACCAGCCCTCAGGTCTCTGGCCCCCATGTGGAGAGCAGCCACTGCCAGCAGGGCTCCTGTCCCATCTCTCAAGAGGCTACCTGAACACCTATATCTGGGTGGCCAGTAGGTTCTGATAGAACAAGGGACCTGCAAAGGAAGCTCGGGGGCTCTGTGGAGAGGGCACCAAACCTGGAATCAAGAAGACCTGAATTCAAATCCTGCCTCAAACACTCACTAGCTGCGGCACCCTAGGCAAGTGCCTGCCTCAGTTTCCTCATCTGTAAAGTGGGGATCATCATAGCACCTACCTCCCAGGGTTGCTGTGAGAATCCAATGAAATATCTGTAAAACACTTTGCAAACCTTAATATACTACATACAAGCTGATTATTTTTATTACTAGAGAAACCAGACCCCTTATGCTGAATGTGGCTTCCTCCTCCTACCCTTTTGACTCTGTCCATCAGATGTGGGGAAGGAGAATGCTGTCCCCATGACTCCCTTGCTCAGCCCTGAATCCCCTACACAAAGGGGCCCATTGTTACCGTGGCAATGTATGTTTGTCCACTTGGGGCTGGACACAGGCCATGGCCTAGTGGCAGGCGGGGGACAAGCGGCCTGGGGTTGCTGCCAAGTCCTATCCCTGGGCTGTAATGGGAACCAGGGGAGGGGCCTCCAACACGTAGTGAGAGTGGACATGTCAGGTGCCAGATGAACCTCACCTTGACTCCGTGGATCAGGCCATTCATCAGGAAGGTGTGCTGTGGGAATGTCTGGTGCAATACCTGTGGATGATACCAGAACACCATGAGGCTGCGAGGTGCTATGGGGTGCTCTCCCCTGCCCCCATCACCCATCACCCCTTCTCTGCTGTTACTGCTGCCTTTGCTCAGGGATGTATGTGTGTGTGTGTGTGTGTGTGTGTGTGTGTGTGTGTGTGTCTGTCTGTCTGTCTGAGAATGAGACTCTGGAGGAGGGGGGCTGAGGAGTCAGATCCTGGCCCCACTGCTGACCCTAAGCCACTCAGCACTTCTAAGCCTTAGGCTCATCTGGCAAACAGGGATGTGAAAGCCACTAGTCCTGTCCACCTGACAGGGCTGACATGAGAAATCATGTAACGTGTGGAAAGCATTTGGGGGAAAAAAGTTCTACTGTTGCTACACCCTGTGGACAGGAGGATTCGCTGTCCATGGCCTTCCCAAACTCTCTCTTCGCTTGGCCCCTTCTTCCTATTTGCTTCGCAGTTAGCTAGCTCATTCCCATGTCCTGTTTTTATCCATTTTCCTCCAGACTGGCCTAATGTTCCTGCATTTTACCCAGAAGAGAGGTTTCTAAGTGCCATGGCGGCTTGTAAAAACGCAATTTCCCAGAAGAGGGACTTCAGAGCAGGGAGCACCGGCCCGTTAAACTGTGCCATGTTCACAGGCACCCCAGATCCTGAAAACAGGCGCAGAAACCAAGCTTCTCTCCCCAGGAGTTGCTGGCTGAGAAAGTCCAGCCCTATTCTTCCTACTCCCCTCAAAGTAGAGCCCCACAGCTTGGATTCTGAAATCTCTTCATTAAAGTAACCCCTCTGTACTTGGCATGCTCGCAACGGTTTTCTTTGTCCTTTCAAAGGGAGACAACCCCAAGCCACCTTTGGCTGAACAGCGTCAAAGCTGTTTTGTTCTCCATGGGGGTCAAACACAGAGACACTACAGGCCGCAGGGCTGGGGCTGGTGCCTAGTGGTGGGAGGGAGGGAGGGATTGAGGGGCTCCTTTCTTCAGAACAAGACTGAAGCAGGTCCACAGGCTGGGGACAGGGGGGCAGATGAGAAAGGGGGTACTTTAGAATAAAAGTTGACAATATTAAAATTTGGTCCTTCAAAATAAAAGCAGCTGCCACCTTTATAGTAATTTAGAGGGACAAACTACTTTTCACCCATTATCTTAGAAAATCACAGAGGGCAGCTAGGTGGCGCAGTGGATAGAGCACCAGCCCTGAAGTCAGGAGGACCTGAGTTCAAATCCGGCCTCAGACCAAACACGTAACACTAGCTGTGTGACCCTGGGCAAGTCACTTAACCCCAACTGCCTTAAAAAAGAAAAAGAAAAGAGAATCACAAGAGTAAATCTGGGGCTAGTCCAACCCTATTTGAAGTATGGAGCTCATGTTATCCTTATAACACATTCAAGAGGGAATAAACGTAAGTTTTATCCTCCCTATTTTATAGATGAAAAAACTGAGTCTCAGCCCTAAGAAGTTACTTGTCCAAAGGCACAGGGCCTTTGGATATAACACAAATCAACTTTCATAATCTGGTCAAGGAGACAAAGCATGTACCCATGAGGAATCAAATAAGGTAAAGGAATAAAACAGCCTCCAGACCTGATCCAGTCCCCTAGTAAGTCACTGTGCTCCTTAAGACTGAGGTGGCTGGGAGGATTTGTTACATCCCCTTGGTCAGACCATGGCCTAAATCTCAGGCTGGTTCATTCCATCCTGCCTACACTCCTCTAGGTTCCTGAGGGGACAGTGTTCTTACAGCTTGTCCTAACCTAGGCAACAAAGACACAATGTTCCATTCCCTGGGGAGCGCGGATCTGCATGGCCTCAGAGAGGGGGAGGTGAGCCTGGCCCCAAGTTTGTCATCTACAAACTATGTTTACTCAGTTCATCATCGACAAAATGGCAGCACTGTTCTTTCTACCAGGCCACTAGACTGAGGTCAATTTCTGGCTTCCGTCTTTTAGTGAAGTCTCCATATTCTTAGAGATAGAAGCAGACTACCGATCTTCACAGTGTCCAAAGATGGATGCTTTCTCCAGAAAGAGAAGTGACAGCAATAGCCTGAGCTCTGGACAATCTATTCCACAACTTAGATTTATGGGAATTTTCCCAGCTTCTTCTGGGAAGCAATCCTATCTTTTACCCTCCAGGTCCTGGGGCCAAAAGGGGGTAATCAACACTCACCGTTAACATGGGGGTCGTGAGCAGGCCCCAGGCAAAGAATTCGAGGAAGATCACCACCACGGCATGGTAGACACTAGGCTCACCAATCCCCTGTCGCTGAAAAACAACATGGCTGGCTGGTAAGTGGAGGGAGGGTAGAAAACAAGGCAATCAGCCTGGGGTCAGGGAAGAAAGCGGGGTTGATTAAACAGTTCTCACTAAATCAAGAACTTGGAAGGCCTTTGTTTGTTCTGAAAAGCCAAGTGTAAACATCTCTCAGGCTACTACCCCTCTGGTTCCAAGGCCCCAGAAGTTCAGCCAGGCTCTATCAATAAAGTCACAGGTTCAAAGGCTCCAGAAGCCTGAGGAATCTATGTGCCCTTCAGTGCAACTGTGGTAGCTGGCACAGCCTGGACCCCTGGATCAGGCACGAGGGCCCATTTAGAGGTGGCACACAAACTCGGCTCTCATTGGCTAGAATCCTGGGGGCAGCTGGCCTTGGCTAACATAGTTAGAGCCTACATAGATGATCCGGATGTCCTCTGAAGGCTGGAAGGCTAAGATGTCACCCAATTTGGGGATTCAAATGTTACTCTAATCATGAGGGTATAACTGGGCCAAGAGTACCCAGGCCAAGCAGTTTTAGAAACATCAGCTTCAAACTGGCGAATGCCAGTCTGAAATGGAAATCCCTTGTTCTTGGCCAGTATCCTCAACTTAGAAAAGGTAGTAGAGTGGGCCTCAGAACAAGAAAGGCCTGATAATCTTTGATTTAGGAATAGCCCAAAACCAATGATTTCATCAAGGGCTGAAAGTTGGCACAAAGCCACTAAGCCTTCCCCAGTCCCGACCCCTCCAGTGTGATACCCTGGTGGACCTCAAATAGCTTCATTCTTTCCCTGCAAGGCCACCCAGATCAAAGAGTTGAGATTCCCCCCTCCCCAACTGAGAGTCAGCTTGCTTCTTGGGGCCACCACGCGGGCTCTGGGCTCTTCAGCAGTTTTGCTTCAGCCAACCCTGGGTAATCAACGTTTTGCTCCTTCCAACCAGTCCAGGGAAGAGGAAAAAGAATGAAAATAAAAAGCCAAGATCCCTTTCCCAGGCAAAACACAAATGCCAGGCTCCAGAAGCTCCAGGTCAGTAGCAGGGCACTGCGGCTAGTGCCATCTCTCCAGCTGAGACAAGTGGCAGAGAGGGGAGTGGACTGCAGTGCCCAGGCACTCATCTACACTTTAAGTGGAGTGGTCAAGCCTGTTTATCAGCTCTCATTAGAATGTACCTACGAGGGCGACAGCAAAGCCTTCCTCCCGGTTGGACAATATCCATCTCCAGATTTTTAACTATTCTTGAGGCACAGTAGAGTGGAGCGAGCCCCTGATTCCAGTCCATCTGGGCCAACTCCTCTTGTGACCCTGTGACCTTTCTCCTCCAGGGCTTGGTTGCCCCTCTAGAAAATTAGGTGGCTAAACTAGATCTTCTTTCACGTTTTTTCCCAGCTCTAATATTCTATAATTCTGTCGGCTGCCAAGTTGACTCTTCTTTCTCAGATTTTCTTGCAGGAGTTAATTTTAAAAAGGAGTGAGAAAAGGGCTGAAACACCTAAGTCCCCCCCAGATCACCTCTACCCATCTATTCCCCTTAAAACACCTTCTCAAAGGCCACTGTAACACTGTTCAATCTTTGGCTTCTCAATGCTTGTTTTCCATCTAGTTAGCCCGGCTTGTACACATGTTTTCCTTTGTTACTGTTCAAACAGCCACCAAGTAAGATGGGAACTTTTGAGATACTTGCTCTCCCATTTGTTAAAACATCTCCGGGGCCATTCAATTAAACATTTATTAAGGGTCTACTACATATGCCTGAGGCCCTGTGATGGGTGCGCCGATAAGAGAAAGATCAGAGACAATCTAATCCCCACCTTCCCTCTGAAAATTTACTAGTAGCAAGGTGTACAATATGTATGCACACAAGATGGGAGAATGCAACAAGAGGCAAAAAAGCGCAGACTGAGACTCTGCAGGGACTTTAAAGGTCATCCATTCATCTCCTTCGATTGACAGAAGAGGAAACAGAGACCCAAAGTTCCACTACACAACCTGAGGGAGAGATCACTTTGAGCCAGGGAGACAAGAGAAGGCTTCATGAAAGAGGGGGCCCCAAGATGATTTTTTAAGAAACACAAGTAACTACCAGGCCATAAGATCCTCCAAGATAGGTGCAGTGTTTCCTCTAAACTTGGTAGCTCCCTACCAAACAATGAATAATGAGAACCAAAACGTGGTCATCGGTGCCCGTGCTGGGGCTTCATCTCCTTTTCACTGAGAAAAATATCCTCCAATGGACATTGATGATGACTATACAGAAAAAAGACAACACAGGCAAAGCAACAGAGCTTCAGAGTGATTCAGAAGGGGAGTTGCTCCCAAACAAAGCTATGTCTTATTTGTTAACGGTTTGATTCTACTGTTAAAATATAGGGCATAATGTCCATGTATAAGCACGTATTTCTTATTTTGTACATTTATCTGGTTATCCGTTCTTGTTGATGATTGTTTGTGCGTAAGAAGCCAGCCTGTTAGGGCCCTTCAGTAGCTCTGGAGTCACGAGTGGCCTGCCCCCCCTAAACTTCAGTTTCCAGCGAGGCCCGAGCCAGGGCTAACAGGTCGGACCATTTTTACAAAGGCTGCTCTTCCAATGCTCTTCTTCAAGACTAACTTGTTTCCAGAGTAAATAAGGAAGTCTATTTCACCTTCAGTTGAATACAATGATCAAAACAACTTTCCCTCAACAGATAATGCCACTGATGTGACCCTAAGGAACTAACATCCCCCAGGAGGCCTCCCCAACCGTCCTAACAATAACTCTTGTAATTAACAGACTTGTATACAAGTCAGTAAAGTTTCTTCCCTAGAAATGAATTCCTATGGCATTTCTGGGGCTATTAATTTATTTTTCTTTCTTTAGTGATGCTGTCTGCATTTATCTCAGTTACTTCTGGGAGATCCCAGTCAATCTTCTCTTGTAACAAGAAAATAATTAAGTCAAACCAACTGACACTGGTTGTGTACACTGCTAGCAGTATATACTACTCTTGGTAATTAATTTAGCATTTACCCATATACTACTTTGTACTGTTCTCTAATTGTTTTATTCCTTAGCCTCATCTCTGAGACCTCAGTTAGAGTGGATGCTTGCTCAGGGCAGGGGTCCCATCCCTTCTACTTCCAGGGAATTTCAGGTCTGTTCAATTCAGAAGTCATGGAACCCAATCTATGTTCCACACAGCACCTAGCAATAAGGCTAAAAAAAAATTCTGAAATGATTGACATGATAGAGTTAGAGAATGTCAGGGCTAGGAAGGCCCTCTGACATATTATTTAGTCCAACCCCTTCACTTTGTAGACAAGAAAACAGGCCCAGAGTGGGACAAATCCTTGCCTCCAAGCCACAAGAGAATTAGTAGCAGAGCTGGAACTAGAGGCTAGATCTCTTAACTCGGCTCAGTACTGTTTCTATTCAACCAGTCCTTCCCTTTCTATCCAGTATAAAGAGCCCTGGGCAAGTAAACTAAGGTTTATCTGCAAGGCTGAGTTAGCAGGAAGTCTATGTACCACCAATGCAGAAAAAAACGGAGTCTTCATCCTCTAGTCCTTTATCTGACCCCATACTGGCCTTGTTCCTCTCTAACCCAAGGTTCCTTTGGAAGGGACGTCTTAAAAGCTTGAGGGGATGAAGAAAAACACAGAAATCAGAGGCTAACAACCTTAAAAAGTGGAACCAGTGAAATGGAAACTCCAAGTCCTTGAGAGAAGCCCAACCAGAGTACAAAGTGAATCATGCAGTGATATGGATGGAAGGTAAAACAGAAAGGCTAAGAAATTATTGAGCAACAGTTTCTGCTCCAAGAAAAAAAAATCCCAACAGACTGGAACAATAGCCAAATCAAACAATATGAAATTTAATTGGGATAAATGTTATGTTAGATAAGCACCAAAAAAATCAACCACACAAGCACAGGATCAGGGAGGAATGTTTGTGATTAGGTAACAGTTCACGTGGAAAAGACCTAAGATTTTTTTTCGCCTTCAGGTTCAATGTAATTGAACAACACAATGGTGAGGTGCTTCTGAAAAAGCCAACTTGACCTTACTCAGTGAAAATTATGGGTCAGGAAGGAGGGAGGTGATAGTGCTATTGTCTTCTGCCCTAGTCAGACCACATAAGGGATACTGTGTCCAGTTCTTGGGACATGTTTTTAGGATATGCACTGACAAACTGTAACATATCCAGAAGATGGCACAGGAATGGGATGAAGGGACTCAAAATCTTGTTAATATGAGGGACAGCTGAAATAAATGGGGAATGGGGGCAGCTAGGTGGCGCAGTAGATAGAGCACCAGCCTTAAGAGTTAGGAAGACCTGGGTTCAAATCCAACCCCAGACACATGACACTTACTAGCTGTGTGACCCTGGGCAAGTCACTTAACCCCAATTGCCTTACTAGGCAAGAGAAGATTTTGGGAAAAAAGCTATCAGGGGCAGAGAGAGATTTGTTCTGTGCAGCCCCACAGGGCAGAACAAAGACCAACAGAGAAGAAAGTTCCTGGGAAATGGATTTAAAGTGCATATAAAGGAAAAACTTTTCTAACAATCAGACCTGTACAAAAATGGAATGGGCTGCCTTGTGAGGTTGTAAGAGTGCCATGACTGAAGGCATCTGAACAAAAGTCAGAGGAGCACTTAGGATATGGTTGAGGGGAGTTAATTCACTGGCCTGGAGTTTGCCGGATCTGATGAACTTAACCGCTCTACTGAGATTCCAATAGGCACTGCCCTCTTCATAATCTTGGTCCCATATGCTAAGAAAAAATTATGATGTATATTCCTGCCTTGGAACATCAAGAACACATCCCTGGATAGTGTCTACCCTTGCTTAGCATCTGCAGTCACTGAAGCTGACCCCCAAGACTTAGGATTCTTGATACTGAAGATTCAGTCAATGGGAATTTCAATACTGAAATGAAGGCAATTAGAAAGAAAGATGGAGGCAGCCCCAGTCTCTCCATCAGACTACTTGATAACAATGAATTTTAGCCTCACCTTGGCCCATCCAGAGACCCCACGGTCTCAAGTGACCTAAACATCATGTCACAAAATTTCATTTCTCTCCCATGGTGACAGAACCAAGTACTAGGTTTCTTGGTTCCATTCACTGCTTCTCCTCTGGGAAAATGACTGTTAGTTTCAGTTCCCAGAGGATGCTGGAAAGCAATTCCCAGCTCTCTCCTTGATAGCAGATAGAGTCAAGTGAAATTAAATTGAAAACAGACATCCAGGACAATCTCAGGACCTTCGAGGCATTGTACTGATTGGTGACTCAGGACATGGGGGAAGGCTCAGGCTGAATATACCCATTTAATATAAGATATTGAACTTTAACAAAACCAAATGGTTAAAGTGATTTACAACTCTGAGCTGTACTTTGAAGTATGGGCCATGCCTGTGATCCTCACAGAATACAGAATTTAGGTTTTCTTCCTACACCTGTCCAGCCCCTTACACGAATGCCTTTAGGGACACAGGCCCATCCAGCTTATAGATGGTTCCCTAACCTGGCCAAAGCACTGGGGCTGAGAGTAGGAATAGCTGTAGCCATATTTCAAGTATCTTGAGGTAGGCAGATTGGAGAAAGACACCAAGGGAGATTAAAGATTGGAAGTAGACGAACCAAGGGTGATCAAAGTATGGTTTGCTGAAGTTCATGACAGAATCATTAGAATCAGACAGTTTTACTGGGGTGGAAAAGAAGCACATAGTCAGGAAGCAAAGTTATAAAGGTGGGGAGTTAGTGGTGTGGGTGGCAGGGTACAAGAATTTCTTTGAGTGACTGGAAAGCTTTATCCAACAGTACAAGGTCATACAAGTCAGAGGCAGAGCTAGTACCAGAAAACCTGGTTGGTGTAATTTCAAACCCCTCTGCAATATATCATGTTGCCCTTCTCCATAAGTGAGGAGTGGCAGCTTCTGGGAGCCAGCATTGGATGGGCAAGAGAAGTCAGGGACTGAGGGGAAAGAGGCCAAAGGCAGAAGGGAGAAGAGAAAGGACAAGAGGGAAAGTGCTGTTTAAGAAGGTAACAAAGGCAAGAGGAATTGGGGGGAATAGGAAGAGGGAAGTTAGTTTGGATGGGGCAATTTGTACAGTATAGGAAAGAGACTAAGAGCAGAAAGAGAGAAGGAGGCATAGGAAATGTAGAAGGGCATGGGGAAAGAAAGAGTAAAAGGGGAATGTTTATGTGTCTGGAAGAGGAGAATAAGGGCAGGAGGAGGTCAGAGTGGGATGGAGGTGGCAGAGAGACAATGGCAAGGGGAATGGGGCCAGAAGAAAGGAAGAATGTGTATCTGTGTGTGTGTGTTTGTAGGAGGCAGAATGGGAAGGACTTGAGGACAGTGTGACAGCAGGGACAACATGGGAAAACAGGTAGGAAGCAGATTTAGTAGAATGCTGTGGGGAAGGGGAGTGAGTAGGGGTTGGACATACTGGGTGTGCATAGATGGAAAAAGTGAAGAGTGACTGAGGACAGGAGTTGGTAGTATATGGAGAAGCAATAGGAACAATGAGGTCTAAAGAGTCTAGCAGGGGAGCGGGAAGAATTAGGATGGTCCACATACAAGGGATAGGACAGGTAGAACATAGGCCAGGATTGGGGAAATGGCATGTGAGCAAGAAGCCATGGCCCAAGACTGGATCTGAGGTACGCCCATCTGGGGCCAGGCTGAGTGAATGAAAGGGAAAAATGACCCTAGGGTAAGATTTGAACAGAAAGATGTGGAAGCAGTATGGCCCAGGGCAAGGCACAATGGAAGATTATTGAGAGCCAAGGCTGGGGATGTGTGTGGTAGGAGTTTTACTGAGGTAGAAGAAGGCAGGATCCTGGCTTGCACTAAATAGGGTACCAACTGGGATCTAGGGGGTGCTGGGAGATGGCAGTACAGGCTGGGGGCTGAACGGGTGGGCTAACTGCTTGACACTGAAACTAGGGCTGAGGGGAATTATATTTTGCCCTTTTTTTGGTATCCCCAGTGCTTAGAACAGTGCCTAGTAGGCAGCAGGTGTTTAACAAATGTTGGTTGACTAACTATATTAGAGATAAATGAGGGAAGCCTACGTAAGGGCCGATGGAGAGCAATGGAGGAGTGTGGTTGGGCCAAGACTAAGAGGAACAGGGCCTATGGGGGAGATGACCCTGAGGCCTGGCAGACTAGCTGAAAGAATGGGGAGTTATGGCAGGGTAGGAGATGAAGGAGGGGCATTAGAGGAATGGGTACAGAGCTGTAGAGACTGGGGCTGGGGGGAGTCCAAAGACCTGGCAGGGCTAGGGCTAAGAAGGCACACCAGAAGTTGGGCTTGGCATGATCTGGGGCACACCAGAGGCCTAGCAGGGCCCATGCTGGGACAGGGGCACCCCCCTGAAATGAGGCTGGCAAGGAAGGGAATGGGCTTGGCTGGGCCTAGGCTAGGAGCTGGTGAGGGCATAGTAGGGGCTGGGCCAAGGCTGCAAGGTGGATATACTAGCAGGTAGTGAGGGCAGCCCAGGGGCCTGGCAGGGAAGGGGCCCAGGGGCACCCCAAGGACCTGGCAGGGTCTGGGGGCACTCCAGGGGCCTGGCAGGGAAGGGGCCCAAGGGCCCGGCAGGGGCAGCGGGGGCCGGCCGCGCACTCACGGCGCCTCCGTCCTTGGTGATGATCTTCTTGGCCAGCAGCACGCTGCGGTTGAGCCGCTTCTTCTTCTTCTTCTCCCCGGTCATGGTGCCGCCTCCTGGGCCCGGCGCCCCCGGCTCGGGCTCGGCCCCTTCATCCTGCAGCCGCCCGCTCCCGGCCTGGCCCGGGCCCCGCCCGCCCGCTCGCTCGCTCCCCGCCCAGAGGCCGCGGGACCTGTCAGCGGCGGCTAGAGGCGACGGAGGCGGCAGAGGCGGAGGCAGGAGCGGCGGAGCTCCCGGGGCGGGCGGCCGGGCGGCTTCTCCGCCTCCTTAGCGACCCACTTCCGCCTGCCGCGGCTGCGTGCGCATCCACATCGCCCCCGCTCCGCCTACAAGTCCCAGCAGCCTGCGCGCCCGCCTTAATCTCGCCCTCAATCATTCCAATTCCCGGCGTGCTCTGCTCCGCCACGGGAGGCGGGGCACTAAGTGAGGCGGGGTGGGGGTGGGGTGTGAGAGACTGCAGAAAAGACTACAATTCCCATCATGCTATGCGCGACTAATATTTGTGATGGGGTGGGGACAAGATGGAAGTCCTCGGCGGAGTCGCCAGGTGGCTTCAGTTGAGAGCTGGCTTCCCAGAATACAGCGACGCGCAGAGCCTCTCTCCTCGCCCCACCCCCGTCTCCTTTCCCTCCGTCACACACCCCTCTTGTGGCTGAGAGCTTTCTTTTCTGCCAGATGCTACTTTGGGACTGGTCAGAGGCTAGGCTGGGGAACCCAGACCCTAGAGCAGGGGACTGTGTTTCCAGAAGCTGGGAGTTTGGTTGCTAGGGAATGAGTTCTTGATTGCTAAAGGCTAGGCCTAGGTTGCTAAGAGCTGGGGTCTTGGTTGCTAGGAGCTCGGAGTCGTGTTGCTAGGGTACCAAAGCTACTTCCCCCTCCCCCATTTTCTTCCTCAGATGATTGACACTCCCCTATCTTTGGTTCCCACAATGACCAAAGCCCCTCTCCGTCCTCTTCTACCTAGGCAGGAGCCAGGCTGCAAGCTGAAGCATCCTACCTCAATGCATCCCTCCCTGAGAGGTGGATATACTAGGAGGTAGTGAGGGCAAGATGGGCAAGACATCCCACGGAACCCAAACACCAGAGACACAGAAAGAGAGCTGTGACTCGGGTTCTCACCCTTCTGGAGAACAAGGGCTTTGTTGTTGGGGCGCTGCCCCCATTACATACGGAGGCAAACAGCCACAGAAGCGCGTGATTCTGAGTCAGGGGGCTGGCTGCCGGACAATCGACAAAAGGAGAGCTGCTCCCTGGGGAAAGGGGGAAGAAGTGAGGGAGGGGGAGAAGGTCGTGAGCAGAAACTCGATACGAGAGAGCGCGTCAACTGTCAACAGCTGGCCTAGAGCCGTGCTGCAGCCTTACACCCCAGGAAACCGAAATCAGGCAGTAGGCAGAAAGAAAATCAGACCGCAAGCTTCAAAGAGATAATATATACGCAGCTTTGGTTAAGAATAAATACATGTAGAATTAGTAGCAACGGGTGGAAGCTGCAGCTTAATTTGGGGGATTGGTTATGTTTTTATTTTATTAATTTATTTTGATTTATCAGTAATCACTTCCATGTGCTTCTGAGTTTAAAATTTTTCTCCTCCTTCCTCCCCGCCACCCTTCCCAAGATAGGGCACAATCTGATATAATCTATACATTTACATTCCTATTAAACATATTTTCACATTAGTGATGTTGTAAGTAAGAATTAGAACCAATAGGAGGAACCACCAGGAAGAGGAAACAAAACTCAACAGAAGAGAAAAAAAAATATCAATTTAACTTCCATAGTTCTTTCTTTGGATGTGGATAGCATTTTCCATCAGGAGGCCTCTGGAGATGTTTTAGATCCTTGTATTGCGGGGAAGGGTTAAGTTTATCAATATTAGTCATTGCACAGCATGGCTATTATTGTGTACAACGTTCTCTTGGTTCTGCTCACTTCACTCAGCATCAGACCATACAAGTCTTTCTAGGTTTTTCTGAAGTCAGTCTGTTCATCATTTCTTATAACACAATAGTATTCTATTACATTCATATACTACAGCTTGCTCAGCCATTCCCCAATTGACAGGCATCCTCTCAAGATTTAAGCTTAATTTAAGAAAAAATTTTCTACCAATAAGAACTGTCCAAAAAACACATTGGCTTCCTCAGGCTGTTAGTGTACTGGGGGTCATTAGTATCATTAACAAGCATTTATTAAGCACCTACTAAATGCTAGGCACTGTGCTAAGCACCAGGGATACAGAAAAAAGGCAAAGACTTAAGTCCCTGACCTCAGGGAGCTCATGTTCTAATGCAAAAGACAATATACAAATAGGCCTTGAACTGAAGGCTAGATAACCACTTTTCAGGAGACTCCTGTTCTAGTGTGTTTGGACTAGATAACCTCAGAGATCCCATGTGACCCTAAGGTTATGTTTATTCCTGAGGCAGAGAACAAAAGATTGGCCATTGACCACAAAGCACTTTTCCCCTACTAGTCCTGAGAGTGAGACTAAGCAGGAAATATGTGTATTTTACAGAGAGGGATACTGAGGCTGAGTGACAAGAAATGCCTTGCCTCAAGTCACACAGTTGATAAACAGCAAAGTCAAAGCAAAAGCGCTGGATGTTCTATTTGAAAGTACAGCAATCTTTAGTACAAACAGTATTGTGTCTGGCTACATAGACAGATAGATAGAGAGAGAGATAGAGAGATAGAGAGATAGAGAGTTAGAAATGGATATAGATATCTTCTCTATATATATGTATATATACATATGCTCACAAAGAGGATATGGGGGAAGCCTCAGGTTTTATGTGTGTATAAGTATATATATGTATATGCATACATATTATATATAAAGAGTCCATATTATTAGTTGAGTTAGTAGAATCAATAGGACCCTGACAAAATCTGGAGACCTTACAGAATTCCAGAATCTCAGAGGCAGAAGGGATCTCAGAGGCCTTCTAGTCCAGCCTATCCAGACATAACCAAGAGCTCTATTTACAGTTATACCTTCCACATCACAGAGGTTAGGGGCTCGGTGCCCCTGTGATCTGGAAAATAAATGTAAAAATTTTTGGCCCTCCTTCTGTACCAGAGACATCTGAATTTTTTCTTTTTCTTTTATGGGGTGTTTACAGTACCTTATTGTAAAATATGGGTTAAGTATTTGGTTACAGGCTCTGTGTCGTCTGCTACTTCCACAAAGCTCCCCCAAATTCCCATTTAATTCCTTATGCTGACCCTCAATATATTGAAACTGCAATGGGGAAAGTCTCAATGTGGAAGGGATAACCGTACTGTTGCAAAAAACAAACAAACAACTGTTCAGGCTCCAATGATGAGTACATAGTACCTCCCAACACAGCCTATTTTACTTCTGGACAGTTTTAATTATCAGGAAGAAGAATAAAGCCTAATAAATTACATCAACCCTAGATGGACTTTCTATAATTTCCATTTATCCCCCTTAGTCTTGACCTCTAGGACCATGCAGAATAAAGCTAATTCCTCTTCCACAAGCCATCCCTTCAAATCCTTGAAGACAGCTATAATGTCCCCCTAAGTCTCCTATTCTGCAGGATAGATACACATAGTTCTTTAACCTATGCACACATAGCACTGTTCTCCATTCTTCTCACCATCTTGGTTGTCCTCATTTGTACGTACTCCGATTTGTCTACTTCTTTCCTGAAATGAATCTGGTACTACAGATGTAACCTGATCAGAGTGAGATATAGTGAAAAGATTACCTCCCTTGTTTTGGAGACTATGCCGTTCAAAGTAGTTGAAGATTGCATTCACTTTTTGGCTGTCAAATCACCCCAGTGACTTAAATACAACTTTCAGTCTATTTAAATACCCAGATATGTTCCATATAAACTATTTGTATGTTACCGTGTCTTCATCCTATATTTTTGATTTTTTTGAACCTGAGTAGACCTTTCTGTAGCTTATATAATAAGCTTATTCCAACACCCACTCTGACTGACAAATCCGGTCTCAGAAAATGACTAATTATAGACACCACGGTCCTCATACCAATTCCTACACACATTGATGAACCAGCCCCCCCACCCCACCCTCAAAGCATAGGCGGTGCATATTGACTTAGGAAACCACATAGTAATGCAATCCTTGTTCTATTGTATTTTTATTGATTTTGTTAAATATTTCCCGATTACATTTTAGTCTAGCTCCCATCACACTCTGGTGCTTTGCGACTTCATGAAGCCGTCACTGTGTTTTTGACACATTTGTTCCAGTGTAAGAGTTTATCTATCTCCTCTTCAGGGTGTTAAGGGTACCTGTGAGTGGCATTGGAATTTTCCTAACACTATCAGCTTGAGCCCCTATTCCAGTGCGTCCTCCCTGATAACAATCACCAGTTACAGTTAGTATCTCCTCCCAATATTATTTAACCAATTAACATCAATTCGCTTTTAAATAGTGTTAAAATAAAAACCCCTGTGAACTGCTAAAATGGAATAAACCCAAGTTCCAAAAGGGGAACCTAGAATGAGCCAGATTATAATCACAGTTTACAAAGATTATAACTGCATTTATTTTTTTATTTTTCATTTTAAATTTATTTACTATTTTGTTTTTCCCCAATTACATGTAAAAATAATTTTTAACATTCATTTAAAAAATTTTGAGTTTGAGTTGAGTTCCAGATTCTCTCCCTTCCTCTCCCCCTCCCTTCCATTGAGAAAGCAAGCAATTTCATATTGGGTTATGCATGTGTAGTCATGCAAACCATTTCCATATTAGTCATGCTGCGAAAGAAAGCATAGATTAAAAAAAAATTCATTCACAGCTGATCATCTTACAATATTGCTGTTACTTTGTACACAGTACATTTCACTTTGCATCAACTCTGTAACTGCATTTATTGCCTGAGAAGAGGTCTGCAAGCTGAAGCAGGGAGACAATGTTCTCATCTGCTCAAAGGGGAGTGGGAAAGGGTGAGGTATTTATACATATTTGAGGTATTTAGTACTAAGTCAGGGTTAAAGGAGAAACACAATAAATTAGGAAGTCAGACAGGAAGTGGGGGTCCAGGGAGAAGATATCTGTAAACACAATAAATCAGAAAGCAGGATGTTTCCTGCTCTAAATTTAGGTAAGACAGAAACCAAGATGTTAGCTTTTCTCTCCGAGCTGGTCAAGACTAGTTTCAGCAGTTGCAAGTCTCTGAATTCAGGTAACGTTTACCTCACAAAGGATTACTGGTATATCAAGCAACCCTGGGTATCAGAAGTCCCTCCTGATTGGCTAGTTGTT